CAGCCAAGAAATCTCTGTGGAGTTTGGTTCTACTCGCAACACATAGGGTCGCTATGAGTCAGACTCAACTCCATGGCAGCTGGTTTGGTTTTTTGATTTCCACCTCTTCATTGTTGCCACCATAGCCAAGATACCTACATTCATTGCACCTTAACTTTTTCTATAAATTACCTGTCAGCTCTGGTGGCCTAATTGGTAGAATGTTGTACTGCCAGCTCAATGGTAGGTGATTTGAATCCACCAGTTGCTCTGAGGCAGAAAGATAGAAAATCTCCCCCCATGCGATTTACAGCCTCTGAGTCAATTCTGACTTGACCAAAATGAGGTTTTGGGTTTTCATATTGGTTGAAGCCCTGGTGCCTAGCACAGTATATGCTGTGTTAATAACCGAAAAGTCGCAGGGTTGAATCCACCGTTTAGAGGGAGAAACATCGGTATTCTTGGAAACCTGATGCGAGTTCACTGTGAATCAAAGCAGACTTGAGGGCAGGGTGTTTATATGGTTATCTGGAGTCTTGAATGGGTTTAATACACATAAAGCTTCCAGTAAGTGGTGGTGTAACTATAGAGTTGGAACAAACTCATAGCTGACCCTCCAGCAGGTTTTCAGAGGCAGTAAATAGCACAGAGGGAGTTTGCTCATCTTTCTCCCGTGGAGAGCAGCTGGTGGATTCAAACCAAGTGCCTTTGGGTTGGCAGGGCAACTCCTTACCACTAGGCTACCAGGCCTCCCTCCAGTAAGTTTTAGATGATGGTAATAGTGGTCATTACCTTTAGAATGGCAGTCAGGAGAAAACATATGTTAGGCCCTAACGGGGTCCCTGCCTCTGCCTAACAGGAGTTTTCTGTATCTCAATACTGAGCAACTCATTTGCCACTCAAATATATTGTCATCACACACAGTTCCCCCCCCCCCCCCATTGCTTGAAATCCACTTAATTGATGCCTAGTTTCAGCTGACCTTAAACTATTTAACTTGTTCTGCCTGCATTAGTCTTTCTGACCTTGACTGTAAAGGCAGAATTGTAGGCCCCTGCTTTCTGTTTGGAATTCTAGAAACATCCACAATCTGGGATTCTTTTTATCAGAGAGGGCACAGAGGTTTGTCCAGAGTTCTTTTGCACATACACAAAAAGAGACTCATTGTGCTATGGCGAGGGAGGGAGAGTTTGTGAACGAGTATGCATGAGTTGAAATTGACCAGATGGCACTTGATTAGGTCGTCGGCCCACTTGGCAGGGGTTGTGAATCTCGTTTCTATCCTCCTTTAAGTCACTTGATAGTTCTGTAAGATACTTTTTCCCTCTGCACAGATTTAACATCAGGCAGACTTCAGGACCATTTTTAGGCTTACAAAACCTTGACCATGTAAATGTTATTCCTACTCTGGCCTGGAGCCTTTTCTTACTACTGTGGTCCTCATGGCAGAGCAGTGACATGACCCTGTAGGCAGGGTCTTGGGGCTTGTTGAGTACCTTTCCAGATGGGGTAAAGTATAAGTCCATTCCCTTAAGAATCCCCACAAGCTGGTCTACTGCCTGGGAGATCCAGAAGACATACTGAGAAGCAGTTGCCATAAAGATCTACCCAGAGTCCCGGTTGAGGACTTTCCCCAAAAAGACATACAATGCCAGGAGAAGCTAACACAAATTTCAAGGCAGATTCAGAGGAATTAAATTATTCTAGGCATATTGCCTGGTTTCCAGGCATTTAGGGATATGCAAATTCTCATGTTCTTCAGAGTTCTGTGTCTCATTTGTACTGAGTACATTAGTACTAAAAATGAGATTTGCTAGTTCTACATTTTCATGTGAACTTAAGCAGTGAATATTTAATTCGATTCTGGGTCTCTCAGAAGGAAAGGCAGTCTTCAGATAGAGAAGATAGTTTATTTTTCTCATAAGCCCTGCTGACTGCTTTAATTTCTTTCCCTCTGACTGAAATGCAAAATAGAACACTATCCTAAATTAATACTCCTGCTACACAAAGGCTTGCAGTGTCTGTTTTTGCTTCTTTTAATGTGTAACTCTTCTAAGAGTGTTACTGTATTACAGCTAAGAGGCTTTAACTATGTAAAGGTTGAATACTTTACAGGTCTGAATGCCAACATAACAATTAATCTGTGATTAGATTTTGCTTCTTAAGTTGCCTCCACTGAAGAGTGCCTATAATTTTAAATGCCTGAAGTGTTCCACTCTTCAGAACTTATGAAAGCTCTCTTTGATAGAGCACACTAAAATTGTGTGGCTATTGTTTTTATTGCTTTATTGTACGGCCAGCTTAACTGAACTCTTGGAGTTGCTTTTATTCTTTGTGATAAAGATAATGTTGAGAAATGAGTGTCAGGCAAAGTGTGTGCGTGTTCTTGTTCGCTATCAGCCATCCTGTTTCTGATCGCTATTGAATCCTCTGCTTCAAAAAAAAGAAGGTTGGAGATGCTTCCTTACCTCCATCCCACTCCACTATTAAAAATCATGGTTTGCAGCAGCTTCCTTTCAGACTCCTTAGCTCCTTTCCATCTAGTTACTGCCCTCACTGCTCATTGCCCTGGAGTTGGTTTTGATACAGAGACCCTGCAGGACAGAATAGTTTCCCCATATGGTTTTTAAGGCTGCAGTCTTTGCAAAAGCAAACTACCTCCTCCTCCTCCAGGAGAACAGCTAAATGGTTTTGAACTGCCCACTCTTCTGTTAGCAGCCAAGAGCTAGCCAATGGCGACCCCATGTGACAAGAATTGAACAGCTCTGTAGCATTTTCTTAGTGTCCTATTTACAGACGGAGATTGCCTAATCCTCCTGCAGAGCAGCTGGGTAGATTCAGACAGCCAGCTTTTCAGTTAGCTGTTGAGCACAGAACTGTTTGCATTTGCATTCCTAGATCTCTCTTTACTGAGTCTCAGTGTTCATTGTTTGGATTTTTTTGGGGGGGGGGTGGGCTGGGGGACTTTTATCTTTCCCCTGTACAGTGCATTCAGTCCTGCCTTATTTGCAGCTGATTAACAAATCTCTAGAGCCTGTCTTCTCATGAATCACACCAGGGGTTGAACCATCCCCTAGCACCATGTGGAGAAAGCTCTGATGGCTTAATTGTAAGGGATTGGGCTGCCAGTCCAAAGACACATGGTTCGAATCCACCAACTGGTCTGTGGGAGAAATGTGGGCAGTCTCTTCTGTGTCATTTACAGCCTCTGAAACCTGCTGGAGGGTCAGCTGTGAGGAGGTTCCAACTCAGTGGTATTCAGCAACAGCAATAGCACCTTGTGGAGCTCAGGTGGTGTTTGTAGCAAGTTGTGCAGCTAACTCAAAGATGATACCTCTCAGACAGTTTAAATTCACCTCTGGTTCTTCAGGAGAAAGATGAACCATCTCTTCCTCCCCTCCAGTAACACTCCCACGTGATTTCCAGACTCTGAAAACTCATTGTAGGGTCAGCTGTAGGTTGGTTTTGACTCAGCAGTCTAGGATTTAAGGATTTATTTTTTTTTAATCACCTGGTGGAGTCCATGGGTGGCACAAATGATTAAATACTAGGCCACTAACCTAAAGACCAGTGGTTGGAATCTACCCAGAGGTACCTCAGGAGAAAGGCCTGGTGAGTTGAAAGGTCACACCCCTTGAAAGCTCTGTGGAGCAGTGCTGCTCTGAATCACTCATGGTGAGTCAGAATCATCTGTTAGCTTTTGGATGCCTGGCATCACCACCACAGGCCTGTCATGCCTCTGGCTTCCCATTGCCTGATCATATTTGCAGTGTTCTTTTTTACATAGGAAAAGACACCCTTGCGCTTCTCTTTCTCCTTGTTGTTCCACATCTGAGTATCTGTCAGAGCCTTCAGTTTCTTTTCTAGAATGTCTCTTACTTCAGTTCTCCTCCTTCTGTACCCTCTGCTACCACTCTGCTTCATTGCCTCATGGCCTTTTGCCCGGAATGCTGCGGTACCCCCTCCCTCTCCAGCTTCTCCCTGCCTCCTCTCTGTTCCTACTCTGGTCCCTCCTCCCATGTCCATTGGCCAGGTCGTGATTTCTCAGCTGCAGCTCTGCTCTGCTCCCCTTTCAGTGGCTGCCATTGTGTACTGAATTACTCACAGACTCAACATTGCACGTTGGAGGTCATGCAGCCCTACCTGCCTCTCTACCCTGGATCTCATTGTTCCCTCTTTGGCTTCAGATGCATTGGACTGCCTGTCCTAGCTCTTCCAAGAATCTGACATTCACTTAGTCACATCTGTCCCCGCGATGACGCCACCCATCACCATCTATATTCAGATTCCTATCATTAGATATGGTTGTTACCCCATTTGAACCTGGTAGCATCTCCTCCCTGCCTGTCAGGTGGCACACACCTTGAGTTCTGGTGGCACACACCTTGTGTTCTGGTTCCTTGTGTTCCAGGTTTATCTTGCAGACATTGCCACATGCTCCTCAGCTTCCCTGCCCCCGCCTAGTGTTCTTAGAAGCCGAGAACTGTCTTGCTAATCCCGTGCCAAGCAGTAACACACTGGCCCCTAAGTACATCTGCCAGATTGATTAAGTACTTGTTGAATGGAAGTACAAATTCGAATTCACACAGATGGTAAAGTGTGAAGTTCATTCATAAGTTTTGTTTTTTCCTTTACTAGGTGCAGCTTGCGTGTGGAGTGCTGCAGTTAAATCAGACAACAGATGGACAGTGTGACGAGCATCAGAGAGGATCGGGCCTGGCTGTGAGATGCAGCCCGGAGTCGAGTGTTGACAAGTTGCTGAAAAGGGAGCCAGCAGGAGGAAGGTGGCACACAGAGGAAGTGGAGCCCTGCCTTCAGTCACACCATTGATGGAGGACAGATGGACAGCCGGATGGCCAGCCACCTCTCCTCTTAAACCTTTGGAGAGTTACCCTTTGTCCTCTGCTGGACACACATTAGGAGTTTTAACACACTCGCCGAGTTCACTTTGCATAGAAACGTACACTTAAGCTGCATTGTATATCCACACTCATCTGTTGCATGGTGACAGAGTCGCAGACATGAGTGCTGAGGGGTACCAGTACCGAGCCCTGTATGATTACAAAAAGGAGCGCGAGGAAGACATTGACTTGCATCTGGGTGACATCTTGACTGTGAATAAAGGGTCTCTGGTGGCTCTCGGATTCAGTGACGGACAGGAAGCCAGGCCTGAAGAAATTGGCTGGCTGAATGGCTATAATGAAAGCACGGGAGAGAGGGGAGACTTTCCAGGGACGTATGTAGAATATATTGGAAGGAAAAAAATCTCACCTCCCACACCAAAGCCCCGGCCACCACGACCCCTTCCTGTTGCCCCGGGTTCTTCAAAAACTGAAGCTGACACTGAGCAACAAGGTTAGTGCCGTGAGTGATGGCTTTATGCCTTTTTTTTTTAAGTTAAAGATTTATGTTCTGGTTGACCTGGAATGATCTGGAGAGGAGTAATCTTGATGTGTTCACCTGACATACTTTGGATAAAAACTTTGTTCAGTCACTACACAGCTAGCAATGTGTACTTGTGGAGTAAGGAGTTTTAGAAAAACAGGGATAGGCATCTGAGAAGCTGTTTAGTGAGTGTTTAAACACTGTTATTATAGCTGCCATTGAATTAAACATCCACTGCGTTCTTATTCTTGTAATTGGTATTATATGCCTAAATCATTATATGGGGCAAAGTAGAGGCTAAGTCTAATACAAGTACGCTTAACACTAAATATGGTTTGTATGGAAAAATGTAGAGAGCAATAAAGTGACCACAGAGTTGAACACATAAGAAACCATTGTTTTTATAACCCTGTGTCTCCCCTCCTGACTTCCTGTCCGGGAATGCTGTGGCTGAAGCTGAAACTCCATCCTGTACAATAAATGTAGGCCATTTTCTCTTTCTTCACAGACAAGTGTTGTTTGTAGCATTAATGCCTGTAGCCTGCTTGGCTTTCGTAAGGGGGAAAGAGAATCACGGAATACTTTTGAAAAATGGAAGACACCTTGTTCAGAAATCATTTACTGGTTTGCTGGAGATGGTTGGTATTGGAGCCTCTGTGCAGTTGTTCATGTAAAGTTTCTCTGCCATTGAGCTTCATGTTGGGATTCACCGCGTGCTCAGTTTCGCTGTCAGTGGCTTTGCCAAGGACTAGTTTCCTCTCTAATAAATTGTAGGCATTTTTTTCTCTCCTTTGTATAGTTTGTTCTTGTTGTTCCCCTTCACCCATTCCTCCTTCTTGAAGACTGTCAAAAGGTATGTTTAAAACAAGTGACCCTACCTGTCCTAGTGGCATGCTGACTGAGAACTGAATGGCCTGCCTTTCTGGACTAGATTCTGATAATCATCTTTGCCATTGAGTCAGAACTGGTTCCATATTTGACCCTCCATTGGGTTTCCAAGGCACTGTAGATTACCCATCTTTCTCCCAAGAAGCTACTGGTAGATTTGAACCACCAGAGAAGTGTGACTTTGTGTTGCCAGTGCAGCTACCTACAGACCACGAGAGCTCCCCATGAAATGTCTTCTGGGAACCACTTCCCCAAGTGAATAGTAAATTTCTTCTCAGTGTGGGAGCTGGGGAGGAAATTTTCCCTGCGATCTAATGCTGATTTTTTCCTGGGTTTTAGAATGATCATCAGTTTTATCACTAGTAAGTGAGACTTTTGGTTGTGTTCACAGACCTAGCTGCATATTAGAATCACCTGGGAGCCTTTTTGAATAAAGGCCTATCTACTTCTGAAGTTAACTTGTCTTTGCAAGTGAATGAAAAACTCTTTACCAGGTATGCGTCCTCAGGTAGCATGTGACTACAGCTCTGAATTCTGCTCTATCTTGAGCCAACTTCATTGTCTCTGACACACCTACCCGATTACCACAGTCACTGAGTCAGACCATCTCATCCAGGGTCTTCCTCTCTTGTGCTCTCCCTCTGTTTGTCCAAGTATGATGTCCCTCTCCAAGGACTGGTCCCATCTTACAACATGATCAAAGTGTGTGTCAGACAAAGCTTCAAAATCCTTGCCTCGAAGGAGCATTCTGGTTTCATCCTCTCTAGGACGAACCTGTTAGAAGTGTGTAAATTCATTCCTTCAGTTTTAGAAATGAATTTACATTAGAAATTAGAATTAGAAAGCCTTGACCAGGTATTTTGTTGTTGTTGTTATGTACCATCGAGTTGGAACTGACTCATAGCTGATCCTCCAGCTGGTTTTCAGAGGCAGTAATTGTACGGGAGGAGAGTGCCCATCCTTGACCAGGTATAGAACTTTATAAATTCATTCCTTCAATTTCTCTTAGCAGTTTGAAGATACACACTTAATTGGTTTTCTCCACTAACTTTTTTTTTAATTTGATGTTTTGTATTAGAAACATTTTCTTAAAGCAAATGTAAAAAGAAAAATGATTTCACTTGCCCCAGAATACAATGATCATAAAATATCTGAGTTGAATTAGAAAAGATTATTCAGAAGGTGAAGAAGGGGAAGCTTTGCCAAGGTTAGTGACAAAAAGCATTTTGTAAAATCCTCTATACACAATTGCAGTGATAACTGGCACCAGTGTGTCAGTTGATTTGAATACAGTGTACAGAAAAATTCATCTCTTCTCCAGCTGTAATGGTACTCTTTTTTTAAAAATGCTAAGCTATATTGTAATACTTTTTTCATGTAATATGGTGACAGTTCCGATTTCTAACAGCTTTTTCATTTTTCTCTTCAATATCTGGGAAAGTGTAAAGGAAAATGAACTTTTCTGGCAGAATTCAAGGAGACACGTGCTAATGTGCATGAAAGCATTAGGAAAAAGAGGAGCCTGAATATAAATGAGAAATGAGAACTAACAGAAAGGTTGAAAAGGCAGGGCTTGTGTGGGGCATAGAATACTAGACATTCGATTTTCTAGAAATGTTAGACTGTGTTCTTATTTAAATAGGATTCCTATGAAGTGAATATTTAGTAGGTCCTTTGAGATGCATGTCAAATTGATAGAGCAAGTGGGCTGTAGGGAAAACTATATGCTGAAATCTATGAAAATCTTGCTTGCTTGCTTTTGCCTAAGCAGGTAATTACTTGAGAAGCTTTTGCAGTGACAAATTGTGTGAAGAGAGAGCAGTCTTTTCTCTGGTACAGTAATTGAATTCTTTACTCCTTTCTCCC